GGGCAGGTCTCCTCACAGCTGATTCACAGGGTTCTGTTGTAGCATGCGGAGGGAGCTTTAGTTCCCGTTTACAGGGTTGCTTGCGGTGGTATTTAATATTTATAAATTACACAGGAGAGGTCAGCTAGATGGTGAAGGTTTAAAACATCTTTTTATAGTGAAAGAGCGTTGCAGTGGCTTCCCTCAGAGTGCTCCCTCTTGCTTCCAACTTGCTTGTGCCGTCACTTTACCAGTTCCCGGTGCAGTTCTGGGAGTCCTTTCTCCTGGGTGTCTTCATGAGATGAGATGAGGAACGTGAGTGGCTGGGCATGGGGCGCACACCTGTCATCCCAGCACTGGGGAGCTGAGTCAGGAGGATCACTGCAGGTTTGAGGCCAACTTGGACTGCACAGTGAAACCCAGTCTCAACGGAACAAAACTGCAGAAAGCAGCGCGTGCTGCCGCCGAGTGCCGTCCAGGGAAAGGCGGGCCTGTCCATCGTGCTGAGTCCTCATGGCCTGTGTGGCTCCTGCTCTGTCCCAAGCAGCAGGACCTCGGAATGCAGACATGTTGGGTTGACCGAAGGTGTGGAGGCACAGACAGCGGTAGGGTGAGTGGGTCTGAGGTGAGGACTGTGGGTCAAAGGGGACTGTGGCCATGTGTCTCTCACTGTAATTAAAAGTTTACCCAATGTAGTTTTCTACAGCGCTGTAACTTAGTTCATGGTGAGACCTAAGCTCTTACTCCTCCAGGGCTGGCTCTTGGGTCCTGGTGCTCACTGGCGGGCACCTCCGAAGTACTTAGGGTGCTGCTTTCCAGGTGCTGTACTGTGTTGGTGGGGCCAAGGATTGAACATGCGAGTGCTTCACCACCAAGCTGCATCCCCAGTCCTTTCTTTTTTTTAGCTTTTTGAGACATGATGTCATTTTATAGCTTGGCTTTCCTTGAACCCGCTATGCCGCCCAGGTGGCCTTAAACTTAGTCTTCTTGCTTCGGCCTCCTGATTGCTGGGCGTACAGGTGTGTGTCATCATAGCCAGATGATTTTGATGGTTTTTTGGTATTTTGAGGACAGGGCCTTGCTTATGTAGTTCAGGCTGGTTATCCTTCTGTCTCAGCCTCCCAAGTCCTAGGATGACAGGCATTCGCCACCACACCTGGTTGGTTTTTAGCTTTTCATGCAGGGTCTTTCTGCATTGCTAAGGCTGGCCTTGCACTTGGATTCCTCCTGCCTCAGCCTCCAACAGTGCTGGGATCACAGAGGTGTGCCACTTTGCCTGTGGGTACAGTATTTTTTGAGTTGCCAGCTATAGTATTTGAAGTTGTAAGGAATAGGGCTTGTTTTCTTTTTTGATTTTTATTGATGATTGATGGATTGTGATTCTGGGGACTGAACCCAGTGCCTTTGCACTCAGCAGCTGCTTCCTCAGCCCTTTTTTAAAATGTTGAGGCACACTAGGGGTAGAGCTCAGTGGCTTAAGCGCTTGCCTGGCAAGCCTGAGGTCATGGGTTCAATTCCCGGTACAAAATAAATAAATAAATAAATAAAATGTTGAGGCAGGGGCTTGCTACGTGAGAGCTGCCCAGGGTGGGCCGGAACTGTTGTCTTCCCGTCTCAGGGTCCAAGTGCTGGATGACAGGTGTCTGTCGCAGTGCCTGGCTTTTTAAAGAGAGCCTCAGGGCTGGTGGTTTAGCTCAGTAGTGCTGTGCTTGCCTAGAGTGTGCAAGGCCTGTGCTCCTTCCCTAACGCTGGAGAGGGGAGCAGGGCCAGGGGGACAGGCTTCTGTGGGGTCCAGGCTGGATTCACAGCACCAGTGATCCCATGGCAGCTCCCTCAGGAGCCAGGCCTGGTCTGAGAGGACATCCAGTTTGGGTGAAGTTTTACTAGCACCTTTTAGGCAGGAGCTTTGAGCTGGGCATGGGGAGCCTTGGGGATGTCAAGCCTGCTGGTTGTTGCAGAGAGGAGCTTTACAGCAGCTGGCCTCAGATCTCAGGGGCAGGAGCGAGGCTTCTTAGTGGACAGCTGTGGGTGGCAGCTCCATGGGTCCTGGCCTCGTGTTGAGGGCAGCTGGCTGGCAGGCCCAGTACCCAGCAAGGAGGATGGCACTCAGGCTGAGCATGACTCTTGGGGTCAGTAGGTCACCTCGGCAGGTCCTCTGCCACTGTCGTGGCCCTGGTGGCAACTGGCCTGACCTGCCAGATGCTTCTGGTGGAATCCCTCAGGGTTCCCTGGCACCTGTGCTTTCCTGATCCGGGGGCAGACAGGTGGTGTGGCTTGGGCCTCCGGAACAAGATAGGTACGTGTTGCTGGGGTCCGTGTCACTGTGCAGTGGAAGCTGTGTGTGCCGTGTGGTCACTAAGTCACTTGAGCCAGGCCTAGTGTTGGTGTCCACAGGCTGTTCCCGAGTTCCTGTGGTCTCCGCTGCCCGTGCCGGGATGCTGTGTGTGAGGGACCGGAGGAAGAGGTGGCAAGCAAACTGGAGCAGGCCACACGGCACAGGCAGCAGGGCCGTAGGGCTGTGTCTGGTCTGTGCCATTGCAACCTGGAGCCTTTGTGTGAGATGCTGACTGGTGAAAGCTTCGGTATGGACTGTCCCAGCCCAGCAGTGCTATGCTGACCTGGAGTGGTGCGGTGTGGGTGACAGTCAGAGATAGGCAGAGTTGCCACCCTGATGACCCCCAGCCTCCAAGGCTCCCCTGCCCTGCACTGCCCTGACAGTAACCATCAAGTGCTGGGTGCCTGGAATGTTTATAGATGCATAGTCATTTACCAGGGGAAAAACTGTGGGAAAGCTTAGATTTGTGCACCAGTTAACTTGAGAGTACCTACAAAAGAAGGCTTATCCCAGTTCTGTCTGAGCTTTAGTCCCCAACCCTTTTTTTGGGGGGGGCTTTTTATTTTTTTGGAGACAGGGTCCCACTGTGTAGCCCAGGCTGGCCTCAAACTCATGGCACTCTTTTCTCACCTCCCTACTGCTGGGGTTTCAGATGCGCCACTGTGTCTAGTTCTCTGCCCTCACCCGCTTTTGAGGAAAGGCAGCACTTGTAGCTTCATGCTGACGCTCTCCCTGTGCCCCGCTGGTGGAGTCTCCTCTGGCAAGAGTTAGCCTCGTGCTGTAGCTGGGTGTCCGGTTGGAGCGATTTCTCCACTGTCATGGAAACGCAGCCTGCATGGCGAGCCTAGAGCCACACAGCTCAGCTGCAGTGCAGGCAGGCGGAGGGGTTGAGAATATTAGGGCTGAGCTGAGAACAGCAGAGGAAAAAGCGGTGCCGCGGCCAGCCTGCAGTCCTTCTCGCTGCAGTGCGCCTCGAGCTTCCTCCACGCCACAGTTGAAGCGGATGGCGCTCACCGCTCACGGTTCTGCCGTGCTTCTAGAGCTCAGGGAGGGGATGACTGGAAGTTGCTCTTCCATCACCAGGGTCACCGTTACCTTGGCGGTCACTGCTGCCTGAAGCTTGTACCTGCCCCGGGGCACACCGCAAAGGTGCTCCTCTCCCCGCCAGGTCGCTGGGCCCAGTGGGCCGGTGTTGTGTTGGCGCTACCTGGGGGAGAGAGGGGCCCTCGCTCTGGGCATGCCTGGCTGTCCCCGTGAGTGTGCAGCGCTCTGTGTGGGCCCGTGGTGGGTCAGTGTTTCACTTTTTGAGGACAGGTGTTTCTAGGAGGGGCTGAGACCTGCAAGTGGACCACCCTGCCACTCGTGGCCGAATGCTGCCCGACTATTTACTGCTTCTGGGGTGCTTGGTTGCCCCTCCCCTTCCCTCCTGGCCTGGGAGAGTGGAGAAAGCCTAACACCTTGATGAGACCTGAGGCCCAAGGGGAGCCACCTTGTGGCCAAGGGAGCCGCCTTTTTTTTTTTTTTTTGATACTGGGGAATTGAACTCACTACCTTGCACTTGCCAGGCAGGTGCTTGTGCCACTGAGCTATATCCCGGGCCCCAAGGGAGCCTTCTTGACACCACTTGTCCACTGCGTGGAGACGGAGTGCTTTTGGCCACGAGTGCTGCCAGCCCTGTGGGTTTCTTCCCCTGTAAAGGTGTAGCCTTGTGGGCTCACATGGCAGCCAGGCGGGGCGGTACACACTGTGGGCTCTGTCCTGGCAGAGGCTACAGTCCTGGGAGGTGAGGTGATGCTGTGTGGGGGCTCTCAGCACCCCCCAGGCCCACTCAGAGCTTCCTCTGGCCCCCAGGGCTCTGCCGCCCGCTGCTTCCCCAGTATCTGTGCAGTGGGCGGAATGTGATCGTCACCCCGAGCACCTGGGGGCCTCTTGGTGCTCGGAGAGCTGGTGCGGGCAAGCGTCTTTGTGTGCTGCGCTGGTGTGCGGCAGGTCGTGTACTTCCCAGCTCCGTGTTGGGGGCCCAGCTCTCCCATCACTCGTTTGCCAGTCGCACACTGGCACCCGGTGGTGTGGGATGGCTGCTCAGCCGAGGGGGGCGGCAGGTTCTCGAGCAACTCTCTGTAGAGGGCAGCGTGAGCGCAGGCCTGAGGGGTCAGCGGCCCTGCCTCTGCAGCTTCGGGGCAGGTGACAGCAGGCAGCACCTGCAGTTCCAGCTTGGTTCCGCCGGTGCTGTTGCTATGCTCAGGCCTAGGGACAGGCTGCATACACGCGGCAAAGCCTAAACAAGTTCAGACAGTGACTGGCCAGAGCCCAGTGCAGACCAGCAGTGGAGAGTGAGGCCCAGAGTCTGTGACGGGAGCTGAGAGTACAGAGGAGGCCCGGTGCACACCTCTACGTGCAGGAGGCCAGGACTGTGCTACGCTGCACCTCAGGCTTGGGGAGCATAGCTGCCCACACACCAAGAGCACACTCAGGCGCGAGGCTTGGCCTGTTTGCAGCATTAGCACCACCGCTGGAACCAAGCTGTGTGCCATGCCTGGCTTCTCCCATTGGGTCTTGGGGTGGCTCTGGTCTCTGATGAGACAGTCTTTTGCACCGTCTCTCTGGCTTCTGCCTGGCCTGGGCCTGGTTTCGTGTTGGGGGACTGAGTGGTGCTTTTCTGAGTCTCTTTCCTGTCCCCACCCAGCTTGCCAGCAAAGCGCGGACGGAGAAGGAGGAGAAGCTGAGCCAGGCCTATGCAATCAGCGCTGGCGTCTCCCTGGAGGGCCAGCAGCTCTTCCAGACCATCCACAAGACGTGAGTCGGGCGGGGTGCCGGCCTGGCTGGGGTGAGCGCTGGGCACAGGGTGGCGCCCACAGGGGCTCCTCTCTGGCCTTCAGTTTCCTGGCTATAAACTTGGCTTTGGCTGGGACTCAGGAGGCTGAGGCTGGAGGATTGTCTGCAAAGAAGGAGGGGGAGAGGGACTGGGTGTGGCTCAGTGGTAGGGCGTGGGCATGTGCCAAGCCCTGGGTTCAAGCTCCAGTACCTCAAGAACCCTTATTTTGGAATGGATTTTAATAGGTTCCCTTCTAGACCTAGTTGGCCATAATTTAGAACTTATAATTTCCTTCTTTCCTCTTTTTTCATTTTCCTTTCCCTTGTTTTGTCTTTTTGAGATGGGGTCTTGCTATGCAGTGCAGGCTGGTCTTAAACTTGCAGCAGTCCTCCTGCCTCAGCCTCCTGGGTGCTGGGATCACAGGCGTGTGCCACCATGCCTGGCTTTCCTTTCCCTTTTCATTGTTACCTTTCTCTAAAAGCTAGTGCAGTGCTGTTAGAGAAACAGTATTCCCTATGTGCATTTTCCCTTGGTGTACGTTGGGATGGGCATGGGGAGTTGGGGACAGCAGAAGGGCACCTCCTAAGCCTGTCCTGAAGGACACCATGTCCCAGCAGAAGTCATCTAACCTCCTGCCCTCTGCCAAGCCATGCAGGACCCTCCTGCTTCAGCCTCCCAGAGTACTGGGATTATGGAGTTGCACCACCCTCCTGGCTGCCCCTGATGCTTCCCATTTCTCCAGCTCTGTGCTTCGCAGTGGCAGCTGTGGACTCCGCTGGGATCAGAACCTCGGCTTCTTGCTCTGTGCTCCTGGCTGCTGTGGAGCTGCCGCACCTGGGATGCTGGGCTCCGCCTCCTGGCCTCGGTGCTCACAGTAATGTCTGCGTTCTCTTCTCCTTCCAGCATTAAAGACTGTAAATGGCAAGAAAAAAACATCGTAGTCATGGAAGAAGTTGTTATTACGCCCCCCTATCAAGTGGAAAACTGTAAAGGCAAAGAGGGGAGTGCACTGAGCCATGTACGCAAAATAGTAAGTGACGGGAACGCTGGCCCGCCTGAGTGCCCTGTGGTCTTGGGAAGGCGCCGGCAGGCACTGCTCCTTGAGCCCCGTGAGGGTGCTGAGCCTGGTGCCGAGGGGTGAAGGGGGGTGAGAGCCCCCTAAGGGGGGTCACTCACATCGTGTTGCAGTCGGATCCGACTTCCTGTCGCCAGCCTTGATGTTGGGCAGGCCTGGGCATCACCGGGTGGTGGGCAGGGCACGTCAGCCACCCCGTGCTGACACGCTGGCTGGGCTTTTGCAGGTGGAAAAGCATTTTAGAGACGCGGAAAGCCAAAAGGTCCTGCAGCGCTCACAAGCCCAGCAACCACAGAAGGAGGCTGCCCTGTCGTCCTGAGGCCACGCGGCGGGGACCTCAGCACCCAGCGTGCGGCGGCGGCTCGCGGAGGCAGGCCGGGGAGGGAAGGGACCCCACGTTTCCTGCTGGCTCCTGCTCCCAGGGGCCAGCGCGTCCAGTCTTAGACTTGAACAGACAAACACCCAACAAAAGCGAACAGAGATAATTTAAAGTTGAATCATTACTTGACTAACAGACTTCGTCCGCCATGTCCTTGTCACAGCCCTTCTCCGACAGTCACCTTGTTAATTTTATTTTCAAAAGCCCCTGTCCGCTCTGGCCCCTTCTTCCTTCCTCTCTGGCCCCACTGTGTCCCCGCTGTCCTGTTTTTTCAGTGGCTCCAGTCGCCTTCCAAATGATTGAAAGAGACTTTCACGTCTCCTCTTCCAAAATAAAAGTAACAAGCTGACTGTGACTCTTGAGTTGAGACCAGAGCAGCTGACAGAGGTCTCACTTTAAATTTTTTCTTACCTTTTTTCTTTTCTCTTTTTCTTTTTCTTTTTTCTTTTTTTTTTTTTTTTTGCACAGGGCATGGCTTGAATTAGTTTTATTTTTCTTAACTTTAAATATATATATGAAAATATATATTAAAATGTTCTCTAAATATTTTCTGCTTCTTGCAGGTCTCTTTTTACTAGATCATGGCCACTCTTCCCCCGAAAATACAGTGCGTTGCCCTTCCCGCCGCCCCCGCCAGCTACCGCCTCGGCTTGGGCCACCGAGGTGGGACTTGGCTCCGAGGGTCCTGGGGCCGCCGGTGGGGTGCGGGCTCTGCCTGGCCCCTTGCCACCCTCGCACCTCTCCATGGTACTAGAAGAGCTGCGCCTGCACAGGGCCATGCTTTCATGGCTCGTCCTCCCGGGACACTGGGCTGCCCGCCCCACGAGATGGCACCAGCCGAGCTCCAAGCCCTGCCCTCCCGCTCGCCCATGCCCCAGCCTGAAAGCGACAGCTTACAAGCTGACGACAGCTTGTATGTGCTCCCGGCGGGCAGCAGCCCAGGAGGCGACTGGACTCGAGCGCCCGCCGTCTGGTGTGACTGACCTGCTGAGATCGCCCGCTCACTGCCTGCGTGGGAGTGGGTCGCGTGTGGGACTGGTTGGTGCCTTGGGGGTGGGGTGGATTAACTACTTTTTGGCCATGATCTCTTTCCCCTTCCTTTTTTTTTTTTTAATTAAATAAATGGATCAAAATTAAATAATTCAAGCCCTGCCTTCAAAATGAAAAAAATTTTTTTTTTAGTATTGTTTAGCAGAAACAATAAAACCCAGATTTTTTTAACCATTACTCATGTCTTGGGTTTGTGCATCCTTGAGGGGAGGAGGCGGGTGTTTGGCGCCCCATCCCCATCTGTCTTGGGTTCCTACTTGTGCGCGGCTCGGGTGGCGTAGTCTCACCCTGCTCTTCCCCTGACAAGGGCCCGAGTCCCCAGGTGGAGTGGCTGTCCCCAAGGCGATCTAAGCCGGGCTCCCCTGGTGGGCCCTGGTGCACTACCCTCCTCCACCCTCCCCACTGCCACACTGGGTGCTCCTCGCCTGTGGCCAGGGCTAGGGTACAACACAGGAGCTCGGGGTTGTGTTGTTTTTTTGAGCCAGGTCTGGTATGGTCCGGCTGTCCTCAAACTCACTGTAGCCCAGGCAGGCCTTGAACTTTGGATCATCCTGCCTCAGCCTCTAAGGGCTGGGATGACCAGTGTGCCTGCCCAGAGTGGGATGGAGGGGATGCTGAACTGAGCCTGCAGCGCTTATGTGGACAATGGCTCTGCATAGACAGCTCTGTGGTGGCCTCTGCTGGGGGCGGTGCTCCCCGTTCCTGGGGTCTTCCATCAGCCCAGTGGCTCAGGGCCCCATGCTGGGAGCACATGCGGGCAAAGGCTCCTTGGCTCTTGGGAGCCAGGGCGTGTGTCCACTGCTCTCCCCTGCACTGCACAGGTAAAGGAAGCAGGAAGCAGTGGTGCAGGGCAACACAGGACCCAGTCCTAAGGCCCTGTCTTGGGGTGCGATGCCCTGTGGTGTCACTGCACAGGCCAGGGTGGGAGTCCCGGTGAGAAGCCTGGCATCAGCAGACAGTAGAGCCGAGACGTTAGGGCCAAACACCACAATGGTGAGTAGTGGACGGCCCAGCCCCAGGCTCCAGCCTGGTGCTGCTGCCACCACTGCAAATCTACGATAACCATAGCACAGCAACCAAAAGGCCAGGCAGCACACAGTGCCCTGCAGTGACGGAGTGCTGCTGGCCCCACCCATGGGCAACAGGCCACTGGGTGAAGCTTGAAGACAAGCGCCCTCTACACTGCAAGCCGTGTGTGGCGCCTAACACGGAAATGAGAAGCAGGCCCATGCATCCCGACGTCTTCACACCTGTCTCCTGCCTGTGCAGATCCTGCTTCCAAGACCCGAGGCCCACGCCTGCCCCTGCCCCTGCCCCGCACATTGGTGAAAACTCAGAAGACGCAGGCGCTGAGGGCCCTCCCCACCCTGGGCCGGCAGCGGCGGTGTGTGGCTCTCAAAGATGGCCATCCAGATGGTTGGACAGAGAGTGTCCCAGTCCCAGTGGCTGCTCTCGAGACAGGCTTGCCAAGTGGCCTAGGCAGGCTTGTGACAGGTGTGACCCGCAGTGACAGAGGCCCACAAGGTGGGGATGGTGGAAGAAGTGCTGTGCCAGGCTTCAGCCACCACATGAATGGACTCCTAGTCCTAAGCTGCACCCCCTCACCCCTGCTGCGTAGTCCAGTCTTCCCGGCGCTCATCTGTAGCATCCAGCTGTCTCGGGGACGAAGGCTGCAGGTCCCTGTAAGAAGTGGGCACTCCCTGAAGGGGTGACTTGACCCCTGGTCGGGTGAGACCAGTAAGGACAGCAGTGCCTCCCTGGGTGCCCAGACAAGACATGGGTCACAGAGGATGCGGGCATCCACGTGGGGACCTCATCCAGTCCCTAGGACGCAGGGTGGGGCCGAAGGGGAGCCCCCATTAGCCTCTGAGGGCCAGATAATTAGGCTTGATTTCAACAGTCATGGGATGAAGTCTGGGAGGAGGAGCCGAGACACGGCCAGATCCACGCAGACAGCAGGGTCAGCTGTGCAGGGTCTGGGCGGCCCGGAAGCAGAGTGCGAAGAGGCTCCGGCCCACAAGGCCGTCCCTAGCTTGCTCCAGTCCTCCACTCAGGCGGGGCGTCCCTGAGGGCTGTCCCTCCAGTGCCCTTGAGAACAGGATTCCCCCAGCCTCCTGGGCCAGAAAAAGCCAGAGTTGCCAGAGGCGGATGTGGAGTGGGAAGAATGGGGCCTCCCAGGGCGAAAGGGCCATTTTCTCTTTTTTTGTACTGGGGACTGAACAACCCAGGCCTTTGCACTGACCTTCAGCCCAGACTCATGGCCAGAAGCACTGCTGGACACAGCCCCTCCCAGGAGGGGACCAGAGCTGAACTGAACGCCCTGGGGCCACTAACAGTCAACAGTGTCTTAGTCCTCTGAGCTCATGATCTAGTGGCAGAAAACAGACATTTATAAAAGAGCCACAAATACAGGCCAGCCCGGTGGCACAGGCCTGACATCCCAGGACTTGGGAGGCTGAGGCAGGAGGACTGTAAATTCCAGTTCAGCCTGGGCAATGTAGGCCAGGTCCCTGTCTCCAAGTAAAACATAAGATAGGGCTGGAGATGCAGCTCAGTGCAAAGGCCGTGGGTTCGATCCCTAGTACCCCGGGCAGTAAAAAAGAGGGGCATGAAAGGCCCTCGTTGGGGCTGAGCATGCAGAGATGGCGGTGTGCCCGGGGCCCCTTCCACAGCTGAGGCTCCATCTGGGCGCTGTGCCTAAATCACAGGGTTGGAGCTCGAGTTAGAGCCAAGGTCTGGCTGCAAAGACTAGCTCGCTCCCGCCCGTCACACCACCACCCGGCCATCTGACGCTCCGGTCTAGTTGCTCCTTCCTCTAGTCCACGCTTCAATTATAAGCGGGTGGGGTGCGGTGGGCTGGAGTCTACATTGGCAGAGGGGAAGGCTTCTGTCCGGAACTAGAGAACCAGAGCTGTGCTTCCGGACGTCGGGGAGTAGAGGAATCCGCCCTGAGCCGGAAGTTGCGCGTCGCATCCCTGCCTGCGCGGGCCTGGCAGTCCGGCGTGAGGCCGCGGCGGACTGCCCTTTCCCAAGATGGCGTGGAAGATCGGTTCCAGACGCTGGCTGCTGCAGCTGCTCATGCAGCTGGGCTCGGTGCTGCTCACGCGCTGCCCGTTCTGGGGCTGCTTCAGCCAGCTCATGCTGTACGCCGAGAGGGCGGAGGCGCGACGGTGAGCGCCCGCGCGGCCGCTGTCCGATGGGGGGGGGCCGCCGGTCCCGGAGCTGCGCGGGGTTGTGGGCGCTGGGCCTGAGGCCGGGAGTGCGGGCTGCGGGGCTCGGTCCGGGCTGGGGACGCGGCGGGAAGCCGGGTGGCGCGCCCCTGCCCCTCCGGCCCCGGCTCAGGCGCGCCCTCGCCCGCAGGAAGCCCGACATCCCCGTGCCCTACCTGTACTTCGACATGGGCGCCGCCGTGCTGTGCGCCAGCTTCATGTCCTTCGGCGTCAAGCGGCGCTGGTTCGCGCTGGGCGCCGCGCTGCAGCTGGCCGTGAGCACCTACATCGCCTACGTGGGCGGCCACGTCCACTACGGGGACTGGCTGAAGGTGAGCGGGCCGCGCGGCCCGGCAGCGGCAGGCTCCCCCGCGGGTGCAGCCTGAGGTCCGGAGGTGGGGACGGACGGCCCCAGGCCGCCCACAGGAGCGTGCGGGACAGAACCCAAGCCGCCTGGCCGCCAGGCCCCTCACCGCCGGGAACCCCGGGCCCGGCGCAGTGGGACCCTGGCGCTGGCCTGGTCCACGCGCCTGATCGTGCGAAGCGAAATGAGCCTGAGAGTAGCGCAGGCACAGGGTTGAGGATGTGTGGGCAAAGCCGTTCCCCTTAGGGGAGCCGGGCGTGCGGACAGGAGCAGCGCAGCGGGGTGAGAGGCTGTTGTTCCAGTGGAGCAGATCCCCGGGGTGGGGAGGGGGCGCTGTGTGGTGTCTGGGTTCTGCCACTTACTTTCTGTAGGACCATGGACAATTTTCTTAACCCCTCGGGGCCTCAGTTTCTCCTTCTGTAAAAAAGAGTTATGTGTCTCTGCTGTACCTGCCCTCCACACTTGCAAATGGTAAGGGGGTTCACGACGTGGGGAGGCCAGACGGGAGCCGGGAGAAACATGGTGGCCGCGGCTCTCGATGGGTCCCTGCTCTGGCCCTAGGTCCGCATGTACTCGCGCACGGTGGCCATCATCGGTGGCTTCCTGGTGCTGGCCAGCGGTGCTGGAGAGCTGTACCGCCAGAAACCCCGCAGCCGTTCTCTGCAGTCCACTGGTCAGGTGTTCCTGGGCATCTACCTCATCTGTGTGGTAGGTTGGGGTTCTGCTGGCTAGAGTACCCGGTGGGAAGTGAACTGGGGGCCCAGGCCCGGCTGCACACAGGGAGGTGGGTACTGCGAGGCCTTGCACCCACTTACAGGTGGCCTGATTCCCAGGGCTGCCCTCCGTGCACCCGGCGGGGTCTTTCAGCCCACATTTGTGCCACCAGGTAGAGCAGTGGTTCCAAGCCTGAGGGCCAGGAGAACAGGGTGGAGTGGTTTTCTCCTGGGTTACACCCTCTTGAGTTCCGGGAGAGGGGACAGGGGAGAGGTATGGTGGGGTACAGGCCCTAGCTGAGACTACCACCTAGAGCTGATGGGGTCTCCCTGGCACTGGGAGGCCCCAGGCACTTGGCTCGGCTCTATTCCCAGGCACTGCACAGCATGTGCAGGGCTCCGTGCTCAGCATGTGGGGCCACAGGGCCTGTGAGACAAACTTCCTTCCATGAGAAGCCCAAGGGGAAGGGGAGAGCCTCGCCTCTTGGGCCTAGAGTGTGGGACCCCAGCTTTCCAAGGGGGGCTGTGGACTCGAGTCTCAGAGTGGCGTGTCCCCAGGCATACTCGCTGCAGCACAGCAAGGAGGACCGGCTGGCCTATCTGAACCGTCTCCCGGGAGGCGAGCTCATGGTCCAGCTCTTCTTCCTGCTCTACGGTGTGCTGGCCCTGGCCTTCCTGTCTGGCTACTACGTGACCCTGGCTGCCCAGATCCTGGCCGTGCTGCTGCCCCCAGTCATGCTGCTTATCGATGGCAACGTGGCTTACTGGCACCACACGCGGCGCGTGGAGTTCTGGAACCAGATGAAGCTCCTTGGCGAGAACGTGGGCATCTTCGGGGCCGCTGTCCTCCTGGCCACTGATGGCTGAGTCTTGAAGTGCAGCGGCCTGCCTTCCGCCTTGATGGTCCAGCTGCTGTTCATCATGCTTCTTCGTCTCTTTGGTCCTTTGTGTTTCTTTGTTTTTCATTTCTTTCACCTTCATAGTCCCGAGGCAGGTCTTATCCCTGAGTTCATGGTTGGAGCCTTGTGTGGTGGGAGCCCTGACACGGATGCCTCAGGCCTGTTCCTGTTTGTGAGGAAAACTGAGGCTTCCAGGGCAGGGTGGGGAGAGTCCCCAGTGAGGGAGCAGGGCTGTAGGGCTGGGGTGCAGGTCCTGGGATGGGGGACAGAGGAAAGGAGACAGCCACAGCAGCCCCCAAGGCCTCATGTGTTTGGGAGGTGACTGGGCTCATAGCTGACTTGCTGTTAGAGGAGGGGCTGGCAGGAAGGGGCAACCACTGGCTGTGTCGTGTGGTCTGGACGGGTTCATCTCCTGCCCCGGCTTCTCTGCACCTTTCCCTGCCTCCTGGCTGTCCTGAGGTGAGCAACTTTTCCTCTGCCAGGCCCCCAGCCAAGCCATCCTGCCTTGGAGCCAGCTATGTTTGTTTGTTTACTTTTGGGTATCGGGAATTGAACTCAGGACCTCACACTTGCCAGGAAGGCACTGTACCACCAAGCTAAACCCCTGGCCCCCTGCCACCAGCTACGGACTGAAATGTGAGCCAAAATAAATCTCCCTGAAGTTGTGGGTATCTGGTATTTTGTCCCAGCAACAAGGAAAGTAAAACAGATTTTGGTACCAGGAGTGGGGTCTTTGCCTTAATGCTACCTGCCCATGCAGGTCAGAAGTTTTTGGAGCTGGTTCACTGGAGAAGTCTGGAAAAGTTTAGAGAAGCAGCCCTAGAACACTGTAAGCTGAGCTTGATGGGAGGTCATGATTGGAGCTCAGAAAACCAGGATGCTGGCTAGGTAGGTGGTATATGCTTGTCATCCTAGCATTTAGGAGGCTGGGGCATGAAGATCACTGCAAGTTTAAGGCCAGCCTGAACTTCACAAGTGAGCCCCTGTCCCAAACCAAAAAACTCCAAACAATATTTTACCAGAATCCTGATAAAAAGGCAGGCCTTAAAGACCAGACTCAGGACGTTTCACTTAGGGACAGGGATTCCTTTGGCAGTTGGACTGCAGGTCATGTTTATTGCTCTGGTAGAAAGCTTGTGTACCTTTTGCTCTTGTCCTGAGACTGCAGGAAACAGGACAGCAGTCTAACCCGGCAGAGGAGATGTAAAGGCAACCCAGCGTGAGGGAAGTGGCATGGGCACTATTGGTGGCTTTCAACTATATCTTCATTAAGAATCAAGAGCAAATGGCATGGTTGAGTGATTTTAAAAGTTTTGATTTTCACAGAAAAACAGTTCCTGTAAAGTTGGAGCAGAGGAGACCCTGGTTTTGGAAAATAACAAGCATTAAAAAGAAACCAAGTACCTTGGATGAGGATAGTAGGAAATAAGGGCTTGAGGGCATGTCAGCAATTAGCACGATGCCCTCCTTTGGCAGGCTCAGGATGCGGGGCTGTAAGACTTTGCTTTGAGAAAAGAGCCCCATGGCAGCAAGCTTGAGAAAAGCCACCTAGGAAATGGGTTCCCTGGGATCCAGTTCACTGCACTCAGGCATCCAGACACCCAGAGGCCTCTGAAGCTGCCATTCAGGGGGGCCTGGGTACTGCTTAAGCAGGAAGCAGACCTTGGCATCATACTCATGTTGCTGGTTTTGCAGAATGCAGAAGTTGTAGGGTCAGGAAGGCTTCCCCCCAGAATTCAGGCCAGGCTGTGTGTCCAGAGCGGTTCCGTGTGGGTGTGAAGCCAGCAGCACAGTGGAGACCCCGGGATGCTGGAAAAGCCAGGAACATGGGTCATCTGAGGAAAGGTGCGAGGAGTGAGCACAGTCGGCCCGAGGGAAGGTTACAGCTGCCACTGACAATGCCATGGGGGTGGGTGGCCCGAGCCCTCTGGGTTCACAGCGCACCACAGCGTGCCCCTGGTGCTGGACAGTGAGTGATGGTATTTACATTTTCGCTCTGCTGGTTTCAGTCTTGCACTGGTCCCTTTGGTTTCTGTGTTTTTTGGTTTTTTTTTTTTTTTAGCCTTTGAGACAGGGCCTCACTTTGTAGCCCAGGCTGTCCTGGAACTCACAGCAGTCCTACCTCAGCCTCCTTAGTGCTGGGATGACAGGTGTGTGCCACCAGGCCTGGCTTTGACCCCTTCCCTTTTGAAGTAGGAATGTTTACCTGGTGCCTTTGTGTGTGGGCAGTGTTGAACTTGCTTAGATTTTTCTAGGGGCTCACAGCTAAGAGTTTGTCTTAAATCTCAGAGACTTTGAACTCGGATTTTCAGCAGTGCTGTGGCTGGTGGGACTTGGCAACTCTTAAAGATGGTCTGAATGCATTTTTCTTTTTTTTGGGGGGGGTCTTTTTGAGACAGGGTCTTGGTATGCAGTTCAGGCTGGCCTTGAGCTCAGTTTGTAGTCTAGGCTGGTCTGGAACTCATAATGATCCTCCTGCCTCAGCCTCTCGAGTGCTGGGATTACGAGCATGCGCCACCACACCTGGCAAATTTCTTCTTTATTTCCTTTTAGTGTTTTTATTTTGCATATGCTACATCTTTTGTAATTGCTCCCTTGTTCACAAATATTTTGTCTCAGTTTTACATTTTTTTGTGTGCCGAGAATCGAACTCAGGATCTTGCACTTGCCAGGCAGGCACTGTAACCACTGAGCTATATCCCCAGCCCCTGAATGTGTTTTGTATAATGAGACGCACCAGTCTTTTGGGCACGGGGGCGACATGTATCGGCCTGTCTCTGGCGACTGGGTTACAGGGGTTGCCAGCTGGCTTGCTGTTAGGAGTTGTGTGGTCAGAAGAGGGGTTACCAGGACATGACCCAGAAGGGTTTATCCACCTCCCCTTTCTGGCTGCTCCCTCACCTCTGCTTCTGGCCCACTGTGCTGAGAGCTGCCCTCTGCCGTGCCATGCTGCCCCGAGCTGGCTGATCAGGGCATGCGGTGTGACCGGGATGGACTCCTGTAACTTGCAAATGTGGGTATTTTGTCTCAGCAAGGAGAGGGTGCCTGCAACCCCAAAGGGAGTGAATGTGAAAAGTCCCCATTTGCACAAGTTTTGTTCTGATGTGGTACTAGGGACTGACCCTGGCTGCTCTGGCACTAAGCCACATCGCCAGCCCCTGGACAGCAGACCACACTGTCCGCCGTAAATAAACACTTCAGAGACATTTGGCCTGGCGTCTGTTTTCCCCACGGGTACTGTGCCGTTTATTGTGGTTGATGCTGGGTTTTCTTGGTTTCGGTTTTTCTGAGACAGGGTCTCACAGTGTATTCCAGGCTGACCTCAATTCTCAGTGATTCTTCTGCCTCAGCCTCCAGGTGCTGGGATTACAAGTGTGGGCCATCGTGAGCAGCTCCATGTTGGGTTTCTCGGAAGCCCATGTCTGGGCAGGCCTCGCCGTGGGCTGCCGTGATTGTCGTCCACTCCCAGAGTCCCCACAGACCCCTGGCTCTTTTAAAAAATCTCCAACTCTGGGCTGGGGTGTCACTCCGTGGCCGCCTTTCCCCAGGATCCCAGAGGCTGTGGGTCCCATCCCAGCCCCACAAAACCAGCCCCCAACCCTCAGGATTCCTAGTTTGTGCGTTTGGTCTCTCCCTCAGCCCTGCTCTCCCACGACGGCCCCTTCACTGCCCGTGTCCCTGCTTGTCCTGGTAGACGGCACAGCACCTGGCCCATCATGGTGACCCCAAACATGGAATGAGTCAGGCGAGGTGGTGCACTCCTACACCTCCAGCTACTTGGGAGACTGAGGCAGGAGGATGGCAAATGCAAGACCAACCAGAGCAATTTAATGAGACCTTGTCTCAAAATAAAAAGGCTGGGGTGTAGCTTGGGGTTCCCTGGGTTCAGTTCCCAGTACCAGGTCCCCCAGAAAGTTGACTGGAGCCTCTGGCCTCCTCCCCACCGAGCTGGTGTTACTGGGAAGATACAGCCTGCAACTGGGCTGGGGAAAACGTTCGAGTGGGTTTTAAGCCAAAACCACCTGTCGTGGCTTCTTTGGGCTCTTGCAGGTAAAAGAGGAGCCTGTGGTGTCTGGGCCTGGCTCTGAGCCTGCCTGGAAGTGAAGGGCAAAGCTGTGCAAAGCAGGACACCAGGGAGGAGGTGGCCACTGGGGCCGGGCCTCCATGCTGTGCTGACTCAGACAGGGACGGTGCTTTAATCAAACTGTCCTGTGCTTTGCAGGACCCCAGGCACAATAGAGCAAGTGGCAGCAGCGGCAGGAGGCAGGCGGGAGGTGCTCCGGGCAGAGCTGCCACACCAGACACGTGGCCACTGACGCTGGCCCAGGCGAGGTCCTGACTTTGGTCTTCGGTCTCGGTGGGGCCCTCCCTGCTGGTCCCACTTCCACCCTCGGGGCAGAGCCAGGCCACGTCCTCGTGGGGCTTGGCCAGCAAGCCCCCCAGGGCACGCATGGTTTCTGGTCCGCCCTGGTGTTGGTCCCAAGGCCAGTGGGGGCTTGGTGAGGGTCAGCTGCCTGGGTCTGAGGCTGGCTTGCAGAAGGAGTCCGGCAGCCCCTTGGCATGGTTCACCAGCTCATAGGAGTCCCGTATGTCGGCCAGGCCAAACCAGAAGAAGATCCACTGCTTGTTGGAGAAGCTGCCATCGCTGTGCTTGAAGTACCTGGGGGCAGGGGGTGGCCTTAGAATAAGGCTGGGCTCCCAGCTGGATACCCAGCAAGTTCCTGCTGTCTCTGCTGTTTTATCTTCATCGTGACACGGGGGGCCAGGGGGTGGGGGATGATGCTAGGCTTGTTTTGTTTTGAACTCTGGGCCTTTGCATCTCAGCCCCCACCCCCCCTTTCCTTTGAGACAGGATCTCCCTATGCAGTTCAGGCAGACCTCAAACACATTGATCCTCCTGCCTCAGCCTCCCAAGTGCTGGGATTACAAGTGTGCACCACCACCCTTGGCCTGAGCCCTAGAAATGGTGTCCCTAAGTTGCTCAATTCCTCAGGCTGGGCTTAAATTTGCAAGCCTGCTGCCTCGGCCTCCTAGAGTAGCTGGGGTTATAGCTGCAGGCCACTGGGCCTGGCTTCCTGGTCACTCTCTAGTCTGCAGTGCAGTGGTGGTGAGGGTTCAGTCGCTGAAAGAAGAAAAGGGAGGGTAGCCAAAGGGAGGTGAGGCGGGCCCGGGAGCAGGAGCTAGGCAACTGGGCCTGAAAAGAGCCGGAGAGAACCCGGGCAGGGCCTGCCAGCCCCGCACTCGGGAGGCTGGGGCAGGATGGTGGCGAGTTACAGATCAGCTTCGGCTGCAGAAAGCATTTAAAAGTCATAAAAGAGCCGGAGGATCCCGGGGCGGGAGAGGCTGTGCCCCTGACGCGCGGACCTAGTGAGCGGGAGGAAGCCCCACCTCCAGCCTACCAGGGGTTGATGGGGTTGGTGACCCGCGAGCGCCAGAACAGCGTCTGCAGGTCCCGCCGCAGGCACTCCCACAGCATCTCGCCGGAGCCCTGGCCCTGGCGGCTGGCGCTCACCACGAACTTATCCAGGTAGGCGGTGCCGCCCAGCACCGGCTCCACCGTCAGGATGGCGGCCGCGTTGTACCTGGGCGGGGCGGGGCCTGTCAGGCTGGCCCCGCCCCAAGGCCCCGCCCCTCGCCCAAGGCCCCGCCCCTCACCCCTCCGAGACGTAGACCGAGTGCAGCCGCGGTCGCAGCGACGCCAAGTAGTCGTCACGGAGCCTCTTGCCGAAGCTGGCGTTGACCAGGGTCACCAGCCGGGCCTGGTCCAGGCTGTCCAGGCTGCGCACGCGCAGCATGCGCTCGGCGTTCTGGAACAGGGTCCCGGAGCCTGTGGGTCGGCGGCAAGGTGGGTGGCACGGGGCCCACGGCCCGCCTGCAGGGCGGCATCCCTGGGACACCCGCAATCTGACCAGCCCGCCTACTGCCTTTAGCCCCGCCCCCAAGCGGTGTCATCTCACCCCATCCCGCCCACCACCAAGCCCCGCCCACACGGCCCGTCCCGCCGCGCCCGGCCCCGCCCCAATCCCCGCCCACACGTAGCTTCTGGGACCCTGCCACCCGCAGCCCCGCCCAAAACACGCCCGCAAACCACGCCCGGTCTCTGGCCCCGCCCTCCGAACACGCCCCTCACCCTTGTTGCTGAAGAGCTCGGTGAGCAGCGCGCTGGGGGCAGTGACCACGGCCGAGCAGTGGTGCGGCAGGCGGCTCAGCACGTCCACGATGAGCCGCACCTGGCGCCGCTCACGCGGGCTGGCCCACTCGGCGCTGCTCACCAGGTCCAGGTCGGCCGGCAGGTTCACGTTGCTCAGCACCTGCGTGGGGGCCGGGCGGTGAGCCGGGGATGCACCCGCGGGGTGGCCCTGCGGGGAGGGGGCCGGGGACAGCACCTGCTGTCGCGCGTCGCGCAGCCCGCCCTGTGCGTTGAGGAAGATGGTCTTCGTGGGCTGCAGCGCCTTGGCCAGCGCGGCTGCCACCTCCAGCGAGTCAAGCAGCACGGCGCGGCGCGCGGCCGTCTCGCCCACGGGGCACAGGATCGGGATGCTGCCCGCCTCCAGGCACCAGCGCAGCAGGTCGGTCTCCACGGCCACGATGCCGCCGTAGCTGCGGGCGGGGCGGGGTGAGGGGCGGGGCGCAGTGGGGGGCCCGGGATGGGCCGGGGGCATGGGCGTCAGACGGCCCCGAGACTCACCTGGCGTGCGGGGCGGGCTCGGCCGCGCTTAGCACCGAGCCCCCTCCGAAGAAGGGCACCGCGGCCGCCGCGTTGTCCCGCAGCGCGTCCACCAGCGCCTTGCAGCTGCGCGCCAGCTGCGCCTTGGCGTCCCAGAAGGACAGGCAGCCCGAGGGCGCGGTGGGCGCCGGCAGACCCAGCACCACGAGCGGCCGCATGTCCATGCGCTGCAGGAAGGCCAGCGCGAAGGCTACGCTGGACACGGCGCGCGCGCAGCTGAGCACCGTGCCGTCCACCTGTGCCAGGGCGCGCGGTCAGGGCCTCGCCCGGGCCCCACCGCCAAGCTCGTGCATCGCGCTGGATCTGGGGATGCAGCGGACGCCGGGGCTGGAGAAGAGAGCTGTGGCCGGGCTGGGGGTGGCG